CCATGGGAGTCAGGAGAGATTGTTGGATCCCCTGGAACTGGAGTTGTGGATGGTTATTAGCTGTCATGTGGGTGCTGAGAATCAAACTTGGGTCCTTTGCAAGAGCAGCCAGTGCTCTTAAGTGCTGAACCATTTCTCTAGTCCCCACAGAGACTGTTTTTTTTTTTTTTTTAAAGAAATACCTATATTTGTTGTTCATAAAAGATGTAAGCAGAAACAACTTCAGGAATTTAGACAAACCAAAAGATTGAAAGCTAGCTTTTGTTAATTAGGAAACAGATGCAGAATTTAGTACCCAATTTAGAGTTCTTGCAATAAGTAGCATATTCTAGAGTAGTACTCTCTGACACTCTCTGTAATAAGACAAATATTCTATACTTTTTTTGTCTTTTTCAGACAGGGTTACCCTGTAGTCCCAGTTGACCTGAACTTACTATGTAGACCAGGCTAGCATTGAACTCACAAAGATCTGCCTGCCTCTGCCTCCCAAGTGCTGAGACTAAAGGCATGAGCCACCACACCTGGCCCTCCATACTTTTAAATATGAGATTCACTTGTCACATGTGACTATTGAGTTCTTAAAAATGTGGGTAGTGCAATCAAGGAACTGAATAATTCACTTTCTTTGCTTTAAATTAATTTGAGTTCATTGAACTGTCTGTAACCAATGACTTTCATATCAGAGAATGTGGTTCTAGAGTTTCTCTGATGTTGATATTCAACACAAAATGGATGTATTTACTACTAAGTATAGAATTATAGTGTCTCCAAAGTGATAGCCCAGCCTCTGACACATGGTTTTGCTGTGGAGTCTGTGCAATGCTTGTTCAGACCTGAAGGGTGGATCTATTAGCAATCCGAACCTCACCTCAGCTTGTGGGTATTCAGATATAAAACAGTTTGAGTTAGCCTTGGTGGTTATCTTCAGAAAGCCATTGAATCTCAAACTTTCACCAGTAATAAAGTACATTGACAGTAAATAAACTCAAGAGCTGAACTTCTAGTCCTAAGACTCTTTGCAGAAGACTGGTAAGTAACAGATAAGGAGGTGATGCCCCCCCCCCAAACAGTTGCCTCCATGAGAAAGAACTCTCAAGATTGTTAGCTGATTTCAGGAACGGGATGATAGGTGCCTTTTATGCCTCTTGATGTACCCTTCAATAGTCATTTAGCACTGACTGGGTACAAGGTACAATGCTGGTATTGCAGATAGAATGTTGAAAGAAACTGGCTGCAATCCCTTCCCTCATGGTGACTAACTGCATTAGACAAAAATACTTTTTCTGATGACTGCTTCTGCCAAAATTTATGTTCTCTTTCTGATTATTATTAATAGAAGAAGGAAAGATACACAAAATCAAAAGAAGTCTTGAAGATCATTATCATGCATGTTATACATTTAATTCAATTTACTTCTCTTTAGATAGCTTTCATAGATTCAAACTCAGGTATTAACAAAATCAAATAAAGTGAAGCAAAAATATAGCTCTTTACTGCAGTGTTGTTAAGTACAGAAATCAATTAGAGAGACCTCAGCTACCAATTTTAGATCATAAAATTAACATCATCACTGAACATTTACTAAACATTTACTATATATATTTAAAAGAGGTTCTTTCCTCTCTCTTAGCCAGAATAATTGTTGGCTAAAGGACCTTTTTGTTACTATTAATGCAATGAGACTTCTTTTTTTTTTTTTTGTGTGTGTGTATACATGCCGTGGCCTACGTGTGCAGGTCAGAGGACAACTTGTGGGAATTTCTTTCTTTCCACCATGTGGGTCCCAGGAATTCAAGACTGAAGGGCTATACTGACTACACAGGCGATCTTTAACTCATAATATTTCAGTTTATTTTGGAAAAATGAGCCAAAAAATGTGGTAAAGTTCTAAGCAAGAACTACTCAAGTTTCTTCTTCTTCTTTTTTTTTTTTTTACCACACTATAACCGTGTAATTAAGTGCATCGTTTAGCATGTATTTATTGTATGAATTTTCAAATGTGTCATTGACAGAATTCTGTCATTGACAGAATGAAAAGAGTTAAGAATTAATGGGCTGGTGAGACATCTCAGTGGTTAAGAGCATTGACTGCTCTTGCACCTGGGTTCAGTTTCCAGCACCCAGTGAAAGCAGCTAACAACCATCTTTAACTCTAGTTCCAGGAGATCCAACACAGTTCTTCTGGCCTCTGCAAGCACTGCAAAACATGGGTGCATATGCATACAGGCAAAACACTCAAACACTGCAGCTGGAGAGATGGCTCAGTGTTAAGAGTACTGGCTGCTCTAGCAGAGGATTTGGGTTCAGTTCCCAACACCCACATGGTGGCTAACAACTGTCTGTAACTCCAGTTCCAGAGAATCTGATACCCTTCCTGACTTCCGAGGGCATAGCCTGACACAGGTGCACTTACATGCATTGAGGCAATACACTCATACACATAAAATAAAAATAATAAAATAAAATATTAAAAATACTCATACACATAAAATAAAAAATAAAATATTAAAAAGAGTTAAGAATTAAATGGTTACAATTACAATGTCTAGTACTTAAAGACCACAGCAAGAGCTTTTCCAAATATATCAATATATAAGGCCCTTGATTTTTGTAGATAGATATTTAGAAAATTATTCTTAAAAATGAATTAAAAAGCAGTAGAAGAAGCCACAAGGAAAAAGAGATAAATTTATTTGTACAAATAATTAAAAACCAGTTGTATATAAAAGTCACCATGACACATTACAATGCGAAGGGGACTACCTTATTCCTTGAAAAACTGTCATAAACTATGGAATTTCTAAGCATGGCCCCTAATTTCTTGACTCTCTTTTGTTTTCCTTTCCATGAATGTGGGAACTCTTATGACTACTTTGACCCATCAAGCACTGTGTAAGGCACATAGTATAATTTTCTCCACCTCTTTCTTCTTATTCCCCTTCTCTTCCTCCTTCTTCTTATTATCATCATTTTGAGACAGGGTCTCCTGTTATTCAGGCTGACCTCAAACTTGCTACATAGTAGAGAAGAACCTTGAACTCTTGAACTGCTTGGATTGTAGGAACTATCACCACACCCAGCATAATGCTGAAGCGGGTTCATAAAAGACTGAGAAGCTGCTGCCTTTTCTGCTGGGCTGTTGTTTTTAGGAGCTGTGAGCCTCTAAGTAGGAAGTTTGACCACCTTTAGACCACATACCAGAGAAGTCTTGTATAGTCTTTCTTCCAGTTTACACTGGCAGCAAAACTCAGCTTTCCTTCTATCCATGGCAGGCAAAACCATTTGGTGCCCCTGA